AGTTTAAAGTGACTGTGAAAAATCTGTGTATTACTGAAAGTTGTATCAAGAAAGAATAAACTGGTTTAATCAAGACAGGACTTGTATCGCTGAAGTCACTCGGAAATAATTTCTACCGGAAATTTACAAACACGCAGTTACGTAACACTATCAATAAATAAACTTACAATATTTTTCTACAGTTTAACATTAGACCATTTTATTGCGTAATTTGAAAATTATGTTGATGGAGGTTTTACGGAGGTTAAAGTTAAATATAAATAGTTAAATAGTTAATAAATAGTTAAATAGTTAATAAATAGTTAAATAGTTAATAAATAGTTAATAAATAGTTAAAACCGGATAGTTGACGAAAATAACAATTAAATAATAGCTTGAACAATCGTCAAGTTTTTATATTTATATTTAAAGAAGGATGACGTTTCGAGCTAGCGCCTTTCGTCAGATCGTACAGTTTACAACAGAGGCGCATGCGCAGAATTCAAAGAACTTGCGTGCATAGTATTTTGAATGTTGAGCGTGAAATTTCTGTGCAAAATTACATATATTACATAAAAGTTTATACTAGTGGTCAGATGGTCGTCTTGTAGTGTAGGTACGTGTGTGAATGTGTTTTATGTATACTAGTGGTCAGGTGGTCGTCTTGTATGTACATGTTAGTTTCAAGAAAGGGGAGTGTTGTGTTGGATATTTCCCAAGTAAATTCTAAAGAATGGTGGAAAGAGGAAACAAAGTGTATAAAAGTTTCTAAATCAGATTTAGGCACGAATCCAATCCCTAGTATGTCGTCAATGTAGCGACGATACATCACGGGTACTGATCCATTGTATTGATTAAATACAAGATGTTCGGTGTATCCAACAAAGAGGTTTACAAAGGTGGGGCCCATTGAGGTTCTCATAGCGACTCTACAGATCTGTTGGTAGTAGTTACCATTAAAAGTAAAGGCGCTAAGTGTGTGTGTTTGTTGGAGGGTCTAGTATGGGTCTACGAAATGTTTGAGTGCAATTGTGTGGGATAGATGTGAACAATGATTTTATTTCCATGATGAAGATGTACCAGTTAACTGTATGTTCTTGACCGAAGTAATGTCATTTTATATAATCACAGAAACCATAGCCAACTGCAATCTAAACAACAACAAACACATCTGATTGGCCAAAATATAATCTTTAAAATATAATTTTCAACCAGTCCTAATCATTAAAAATCCATATTAAACACGTACATCAGACAAACCTTAATCTTAACCTTAATAAATCAACAAATATTTTTCAAGTTTCGCTGTCTACACGTTTCATTTTACACTTTCAGTACATACACTAAACAACAATATCAGGTTAAAACTTCGACAGGTCTTGCTAAGCGACGTAACATAAAAAGTCGTTGTTTAAAATGCACATCAGACAGAGTTTGAATTGAATAGTTTCGTTTTTGAGTTTACTTACTGATTAAGTGTATTTCATTACAAGTGACAGCTTTCACAGTAAGTACGATTTGTATTTAGTATTCTCAAGTACACAAGTTTTAACAGTAAAGAAAGATCTAGTATATAAACACTAAAGTTTACTTACTGTAAAAGCTGTAACTTGTAATAAAATAGTTTGATTTTATAAGAGTAATATATATGTGTGTGTATGTATTTGTGTACTCGATATATTTTAATACGTAAATCATCATTCTGATGAATTGTATTGTAAACCTTTTCTTTTTCGCATACAACACAAAATTATTTTAATATACACTGTATATGATATTTGAAAAATAGGTACTGAGAGTAGTAACTTGATAGTTTTGGTCTCTCGGAGCTTGTTACTGATAAATTACAGATATGTAAAACGTTAACTTTCCACCTCAGTATCAGATATCTGTGTGATGTTTAAACGTTAACTTTCCACCTCAGTATCAGATCTCTCTCTGATGTTTAAACGTTAACTTTCCACCTCAGTATCAGATCTCTCTCTGATGTTTAAACGTTACCTTTCCACCTCAGTATCAGATCTCTCTGTGATGTTTAAACTTTAACTTTCCACCTCAGTATGACATCTCTCTGTGATGTTTAAACGTTAACTTTCCACCTCAGTATCAGAGCTCTCTGTGATGTTTAAACGTTAACTTTCCACCTCAGTATCAGATCTCTCTGTGATGTTTAAACGTTAACTTTCTACCTCAGTGTCAGATCTCTCTGTGATATTTAGGAAGAAGGTACTTGGCATCTGGAAGTAGAGACAGGTTGATTCACGTGTTTGATGTAAATAATGGCTACTCCATTCAACAAACTCTGGCTGATCACTCCTCTTCTGTTACTGCAATTCGCTTTGTCCAAAAACAAGGTCAACACCTAATGATTTCCTGTGGAGCCGATAAATCTATTATCTTTAGACGAGCTCAGTTCGTAAGGAAAAACATTTTATTTAACAACTTGGATTTTTTTTTTCATTATGTAGTTGGAAGTGTAACAGAAAATTATGGTATTTTTTCTAAGGGAAAATTCCCCTCTAAAGTGTTTAAGAGTTTAATGGTATTCTTTTCTCTAGTATAAGATATAGTAATTTAATCGTACTGCCTAGGTTAGGTGTAAAGCTCTAAAACTTGTGTTTATCTCGAAGACTCCTGAGATGTCGTTTATAGTGGAGCACCGCCTAGTGGAGAAGACTACATTTTATGACATGGAAGTAGACAGTATCCAGCAAAACATCCTGGTGGCATGCCAAGATTGTAATGTCCGTGTGTACAATGTCAGCAATGTTACAAACACACATACCTTCCATGGATCCCAGGAAGATGCTGGAGCACTTCTGAAGGTAAAACTTGATGTAAACAAGAAGATTAATATGTTATGTGTTTTTAGAATATGATTCAGGCAAGCATCACAGATAATGTGTGACTGTAAATAATGAATCACTGTTTGTGACCGTAAAGGATGGATTACTGTTTGTGACTGTAAAGGATGGATCATTGTTTGTCGGGTTTGTGACTGTGAAGGATGGATTATTGTTGATGTTGTTGGTGAGTGAAAAGGATGGATTACTATTTGTCGTGTTTGTGACTGTGAAAGATGTATTATTATTTGTCGTGTTTGTGACTGTGAAGGATGGATCATTGCTAGTCGTATTTGTGACTGTGAAAGATGGATCATTGCTAGTCGTGTTTGTGACTGTGAAGGATGGATTATTATTTGTTGTGTTTGAGACTGTGAAGGATGTATCATTATTTGTCGTGTTTGTGACTGTGAAGGATGTATTATTATTTGTCGTGTTTGTGACTATGAAGGATGTATCATTATTTGTCGTGTTTGTGACTGTGAAGGATTGATCATTGTTAGTCGTGTTTGTGACTGTGAAGGATGGATTATTGTTTGCAATGTTTGTGACTGTGAGGATGGATCATTGTTTGTCGTGTTTGTGACTGTGAATGATGTATCATAATTTGTCGTGTTTGTGACTGTGAAGGATGGATTATTATTTGTCGTGTTTGTGACTTTGAAGGATGTATCATTGTTTGTCGTGTTTGTGACTGTGAATGATGTATCATAATTTGTCGTGTTTGTGACTGTGAAGGATGGATTATTATTT